ACCGACTCACTGTCGCTTATCTCATTATTTGCTTCAAAGATCGTAACTTCTATTCTATTTTCTGACTTTTCTTGACTTCTAGACTCTGGTCTGATATGAGTTCCAGTGGCTAGATCCTCATTTGCATGTTGTGTCACGTAATCTCCGTTACTGTCACACTTAGTTCCATCAACATCATATYCATTGGTATCATCATCGGAATATTCAATGTTATCATCGTCTAAGCCAATCACTGAGCTGTTTTCAGATGAYGCGCTGTTCAARTCCATTGGTAAATACGAATGTTCCATGTGYAAATCCCCAGGGGTGGGGGCTCTCGACATTCTYTCCCTTGCTTGATACCCACCAAGTATAGGGTCCCAGCCTCGCTGTGATGCCTGACTGGCAGCTCGTGATGCACGTGATCTGACTGTAGCACGTGATGTCACCACCYTCTCCCTGCTGACACCTCGTGATTCAGGTTTTGCTGGAGTTGGTGGTTTGTCTTTGTCTGACGTAGTAAATAATCGCTTGTAATCTTTATTATACGCTTCGACGTTATCTTCTTCTAAGATATGAGAGACTATTGCATCCCGAGTACACAGCCTTTGAACTTCTCTCCTTATTGCTTCAATCATCTCTAAGTCTCCTGTCGGCTCGACACCAAGGGTTTGCAAGGTGAATATAGCTTCCCTAAAAAGAAAGGAAAGAAATTGAATAATTACCGATGAAACGCAATCCTAACTATGATAAATAGAAGAGATGCATACAAATATGTAAAAATTGGAAGAGTTAGTAAGAATGCAAAAGTTTGAATTTTAACATTGATTACATTTTGATATGATATGATATTTTTTGTTCATTGATTGCATTGTGACGTAGATGAATTTGTTCATTGATTGCATTGTGACGTAAATTAATTTGTTCATCGATTGCATTGTGACGTAGATGAGTTCGTTCATTGATTGCATTGTGACGTAAATTAATTTGTTCATCGATTGCATTGTGNACCACGGTTGGCGCCATTTCATCGTCAAGATTGACTTAGTCTCGATTTGACGAAGCCAACCGTAGTAAATTAGAGAAGATACCACGCAAAACTTTCATGAAATTGTTGAATTCATGAACACGAATTTTGACGATTCGATGAAGCCATCTGTGGTAAAAAAGCACATACACGAGAAACTATCATAAATTTATTAATTGACATAAATTGTCAAACTATACTGTCGACGTTTCCACATAGAGGGATTTTTGTATGTTTTGGAAGGAGGTTTAACGATCCTTAAATATGGTTTGTTGAAAAGAAACTCAAAAATTGAAATAGTAATATGTTTTTGAGACCAGAATATACTCTCCTGTGCTTTTTATACCGGGAGTCCTAGGGTGACTGGTGATAATTAGCGTGTGACGTTGCATCAATCAGACGTTCTTTGGCGTCCTTCGTTGCTAATGAGAATATTCACCGAAATTCTTTTGCTAAAATGTCATCTAACTCTGATCTCTGGTATATAAATAAGAGAAAATAAGCCATTTTCAGAACTTTAATCGCCTTGAAAGCACAATTGTTGAATTTTTTTTCGTCAAACCATATTAAAGTTTCGTTAAACTTCCCTTAGAAAAACATGAAGAAAACTACTTTAAAGTGCTACTTGTATGAAAATTCCCGTATTTCAAAACTCAAGCAATACAAATATATGACTCATTTATATCTATTAAAAACAATTGCGGGGAAAACATTTGTTTTGGAATTATCCCACATCAGAGAAATTTTGATTCAAAAGATGGAAGAACAAAAGGATGGAGTAAATGACGT